TTCAAAGTTTTCTTTGCGGATTCGGGGAGATCTCGGTGAGCGCAGTCCAACCATGTTTTCAAAAAAAAAAAAAAAAAATTTTTTGACCCACTTTTGGACCCAACCGGAATTCCGGTTGGACCACCGGGGATCCAACCGGCCGGTTGCCGGCACAGCCATGGTTTAAACCACCACTACCACCTCCGATCCTGTTTTTTACCGACCCTGAATTTCACTGTGCACCGAGTTTTGTCGAGCCTAGGTCCCATTCTCTTTTCTTTTCTGGTATTCGTACAAAAAAAAAAAAAAAAAAAAAAAAAAAAAAAAAAAAAAAATCTAACAAAATCTAACAAGAAAATCTAGGATGCTACGGACACAAATGCAGTCAGATGCAGACTCTGGAGTACGTGTGAGACTATGGCCTCACACAATTTCGTTTCAGCGGCGCGGTCATCACGGAGGATGCCATAAGGAGTGAGCAACCTGGGGGGGAAAAAAATGAACGACCCTATGCATGTGAAATCGGTTAGATGCAGAATCTTTTGTGCATGTGAGACTATGCCTTCAGTCAGATGTCTTACAGCGACGCATTCATCACGGCAGTTACCATCTGCAATGAAAAAAAAAAAAAAAACTACAATACGGACGTGAATTCAGTTCGATACAGAATCTCCCGTACGTGTGAAAGTAGGCCCTCCGTGACAAAAGTGTCCGCACTCCGTACAAAGCGCCCTGCCTCACTGGCAGGGCACTACGCGAAAACAATAGAAGAGAAAAAAACAAAACAAAACAAAACAAAACAAAACAAAACAAAAACTAAGCTGAAACTATGCGTGATAGCAGTTAGATGCGTTCCGAGAAGTAGTGGGGTGTGATCACACCTCATCCCCGACGTCTTTCCTCAGTTGCTTCCTCGTCTTCTTTTTTTTTCGCAAGTGGGCCCACAAGGCCCCAAACATCACTATTTCTTTCCTCCCGAGACTCCTTGGGACCCCCTAAAAATGCGGTGCGACGTATATTCCCGTTTTCCCCAACACTGAGAAAGGTAGTGGTAGTTTTAAGGTGAAAAAACGGAAAAAAAAAAAGTAAAAAGAAAAATAAATATCCCCCACATTGGGCCCACAACCTCATGTAAGCCCTCCTGGCATGTTGCATCCAGTAGTCACTTGAAAAAAAGTAAAAAGAAAAACAAATATCCACTGTACATCCAGCCCACAATTTCCAAAAATAATCCAGGAGGCAGCAGTGGAAACTCAGCTCTCCACAGGTCATGGACATAAACCCAGCCTTAGCAGCAACTTTTTGGAAAAGCAGATAAAAAAAAGAAGGAGAAAAGATTAAAAAGATTGAAGAGGCAACGAAGCGCAATGAACAAGAAGAGCAGTGACAGCAGCATGTCCAGAACCACAGGGAGGTCATTTGACACCGTACTGTCGTGGCTCAGAGACGGGTTGGGTCGTCCAGAAGTGGCGCTAAACGAGTGCTCACTCCACTTCATCTCACTGACAAGAACTCGGATGCCGTAGCCACGATCATCGTGGTGAAGGCTTTAAGGAACTTGGAATGCGGATTCAGCTATGGCTGTCAGGCGGGCGGCTCTCTGAACTGGAGTTCGATCCACTTGTTTTTATTGTCGTGTGCAAGCCGTGCCTTTGTCAGTGGACCAACGCAAAACTACATGGAGCACGTGAAGCGCCCAAGCGCTCCTTTGATGGAACGACTGCAAGCAGGAACCAAGGATGGAAAAATGGAAGAATCACATTGTCACAGTTGGGAGGAGAGAAACCCATCGAGGCACAGGATGGAATTGTTACATGGCAATCGTTGACAAGTATTCGCCCTAGTGTTGGCACAAGATGATGGAGCAGAGAGGGGAGGGCAGTGTGACCTCAGGGGAGGGCAGTGTGACCTCACGGGAGGGCAGTCATGCAAATGAGTAGTTGTGCGGGGTGGGCTTATTTCAACTGTTGTATTGCAACACCCCATACAATAAGAAGGTCAAGCGACTCCCTCAGGCGGCACGAGCTCCCCCCCCACCCTGGCACTAGAGAGAGCAAGCCCTAGGAGAGGCACGGCAACAACGCATGGATCACAGGGTTTGTTTGCATTGCAAACAGGCAAAGCATTTTGTGCCTCGACGCCTGAAACTGGCGAGGAACCAAAGTCAGCTCCTAGAGTTTGTCGGTCATGTCTACGAGAAGAATCGACCAGGAGCTTGCACTAATGTCTACATCAGTTGTTGAGCCCGATTCTCAACCTGCAGCCCAAATTCAGGCTGACCCCGATGCGCTCACACCACGTTTCGCTTGCATCGAACCTTGGGTAGACCTTAGAAGATATTGACTTTAAGCCGCGCTAGCACATAGCCCCAGCCTTGCAGAAAATGTTTTTTGGTCGCCTACTCCGAAAATTTTGCGCCTCGGGCCTTCCGGACCACAATGGCTGGCGGTGCAAGCCAAAAAAGTAAGAAAGTGTGTCACTCGCAGTTCAGCAAAACTTGGTGCGCAGTTGAGCGCCTCCAATCCCGGGTGTACTGGTGGTACAAGACCACATGTAGCTAGAGAAATGCCACGGGTGGTAGGGTACAAGAAATTCAGGTCTGGCTCAAAGACCGTGAGGTTCATTCGTTCCCGGCCTTACATAGACCTTGCATAGACCACATGCATCTATAAGTACATTCATTGGTTGCAGAGTCACTGGTAATTTCATGTCTCCGTGTGGCATCCAAAAGGCATATTGTGGGATGAGGGCTGAGAAATTGTTGCACCCTTGTCGGACCCAGGTTCGCAATAAGTTATTGTCACATGTGCATGAAATGTCCAAGGTATTGCCACTACCTTTGACAAAGGCACGCATGTCACTTACTTCCTGAGCTACTATGTGATGCAGGAGTGTTCATTTGATGCTGCGATTGGGTTGGGTTGGCTGCGTGCGAGTGATTATGCCACACATTGGCAGAAACCGAGATTCACAATCAAGGATTCAAAAGGTAATCTGCGCCCTGTCTTACTAGATGAAGATCATGACCCCTCTGCGAGTCTTATTTGTCTGAGTGTGTGAGCATTTTACAGAAAATGGAGACAGAAAAATTCAAAGAATCAAAAACAGGAGTGTATATACTATATACTTCGCGTTAGTAAAGCATCCTGGCACCACTACCACCGCTAAGTCAACTTCCACTACTACTTCCGCTTCGACTACTTCAACTACTGCAATCGGTGATGCAGGAACACAAGTTCCAACGACCTTACAGTCTTTGTTTCCAGATGTGCTTGTTAAACCTACCGTCTTCACCCGAATAGAACGCCCAGTAGTTATCGTTGTATCTGGGCTGAAAGGTGGGCCAAATACGGCGATAATTACCGGGCTTTCTATTCAGGTGAAGACGGTAGTGGAGTTCTACAAAGGACTGTCAACGGGGCAGGCCGTTGGAGGAGTTGATCCAACCAGGGGAAACACGATTCTGCAAGAACTACCTTATGCTGCAGAGGCTTGCGGAGGTGGAATCGGTGTTGCTGGCGACATTTTCCAATCCGCAGTGGGATGAGGCCCCATGGGACCAGAAGGGGCAGCAACACAGCCGTGCGGTGCAAGGAGTTGGCACAAGAGCAGCAGCCGGCAGTGACACGAGGGCATTTTCTAATCCGCAACTGGGACGAGGCCCCATGGGACCAG